ATTATGATTGATGTTAGTAGTCCTAGGTGATGGGGAGACTACTATTTTCAGCAATTCTGAAATTGAAAAAAATTACAAAATGCAAGTTTAGATATACCTACATTACAAGAATTGCCAGGTACCGTACAAACATAAAAGTAATTACGGTTGTTGAAGATGAAGCCTTTCCGTTAAAAAATTATTTACTTCGACCCTATCCAGGAACAAGTCTGTCTGAAGACAAGGCTATCTATAAGGAGCGATTATTGTATTGTGACATGGTCACAATTACGAGCTACAGTTTTTCGTCATAATGTTTTCTCAATTCTTTTAGTAGTGTCTTGTTTCTATACATCATACCTTTCTGTTAGTATTAGAATCGTGCCGGTTTGAATTAAACTCCATTCAGGGAAAAATTTTTGAATTGAAATAACGTATCATATATAGTTAATCGGGCCTTCTATCCCTAAGCTTTCTACATCTCGACTTTCATCTATGTAATTCCGTTCTCGAGATTAAGGAAAGACAGGCAGACAGACAACGGACGACAGTCGGAATTTATAGATCTAAATTTTTTCAAATTGCAACCCAAATTTTTTTTTTTCAAATTGTAGCCCAATGATCGTCTCTTTACAGCTTGGATAATGATAGAAAATTCTTTTGGAATTCTTGTACAAGATAGAGAATTTTCAAAAAAATATAGTATGATAAATTATAAATATTCAAAAGAAATATATATAATCAAACCTACTAAAGTGATTGCTATTGAAAAACTTTTTGTCTCCATAATTTTTTCATGCATCACAATAAACCTGTAAAAAATCAGTATTACTTTCAAAATTACTGTATACTGATTGGAAAGATAATGAAGGTATCGTTCATCCTGGCGAATTGAGAAATGAAGAAGCAATATAAAACATTTAAATAGTATTGGCAGCAACAATTTTTCTTTAAGTCCTAATGCTTTAAGACAGTGTTTTTCAACCTTCTTGAATAAGTTACAAGTTAAAAAATTCTGACGACCCCCCAAGACCATATTAAAACTATGTCAGTGATTTTAAAAACTACGTATTTAAGTTTCTTTCTGTTGAGATCTAAATATTAATAAAAAAACCAATTGTACTGTAAAATAAACAGGCACAGTCTTCTCACTGAGATTGTAGTTTTTTTTTTATTGTAGTGTAGGACCTACAAACACTTGTCTTTTTCTTTTACCGCGACCCCCATGTAAGGGTTTGCGACCCCACTGGGGGTCGCGACCCACAGATTGAAAAACACTGCTTTAAGAGATAGATTTGAAGATTCTTTTATATCTGAAGTAGGTATAGTTCAGTCTAAATTGTTTTAATGAAGTCATTTTCTGAATTTTTGGTTTTACAAGTTAGCTGTGTACTGAATTTTAAGTTAGGATCTGAAGTACTTATAAATTAATCGTTTCCTTTATAAATTATACACTTTTCATATTTTACAAAAGCACATACCAGAAACTGTTATAGGAAATCAGAAAATATTTGACACTAGACAAAAATGTTTAGCGTCAAATATTTCCTGATTTCAAAGAGTTTGGGAGTTTGTAGGGAAGATGAAGTCAGCAGGAAGGAGTGAAAGTACGAGTTTTAAGGTAGCTTACGTACTTTAGAAAGTAATAAGCTTTCCATTGTTGCCTTTACAGGAATGTATTTTGTGACAATTGCCACTTCTTTTTAAGCATTTTAAGTCAATAAGCATATCATCGGTAAGGCTCACTCGCACATGATAAAATTCTTGTGATCAAGAGGGTCGGCAACGGACCGGCGATACCTATGTCAAGACTGACACCACTGTGTCATTTAGGGCAGACCCTGATGACTCTCTCGTCCTCGATTCTACCGTTTTATTTCCGGGGTCCCCCTTGATTTCGACGCCCTCTTTAAATCATGTTACTATTTTCGACCAATGGTGAATATTTGTAGTTAGTTCTCGGTGTCACCGGGAAAAGAAGTGACTCCAGGGTGATAGATGCGATCATCCTCCGGTAATTAAATTGAATTTTTTTTTTCGCTGGGATTTGAACTAATTTAACTTTCGAAAGACGAAAATTTTTCCTCAAAAATTTCGTCAAGTCCGGCTCTAAAACTTAAAAGCAAATGTGTACATCTGAAAAGTAACCGAAAGAACTCCATTTCTGTAGGTAGATATCTGATAACATAAGACTAATTCTTATTTTTAAATAATGGTACTGTAGGATTAATACTAAAACAACGAACACATAAAAGTAGTAAAGTACTATAAGACCGACTTAGGCCAATTTATAAAAGTTTTGTTTTATATAGGCCTAAGAGAAGTAAATTCGCTCCTGTATCTGATAACATAAGAGTATTAATATAAGAAACAGACGATCAAAACAATATAAACAAAGCATGTACGCACTACCTAAACTGCACGAATCGAAACCGAAAATATTAGAAAATAAGTTTAAAAAGTTCACTAGGTGGAAAAGGGAATTAGTTGACTTTGTACAGAGCCGACAAGCCACCATTCGAGAGAAATGGCGCGGTAAAAACATCTGTCTCCTGCATTTTCCTTTTCTAATATAAAAATAGTGTATAGCCTATGTTCACCTGGAATAAATAAGCTTTCCGACAGCGGAAGAATTTTAAAACTCGATTCAGTATATTACGAGATTATCTTTAGCAAACATTCTCGTTTTATATACTATAAGCATAGATATAGATATACTGTAGTGTAGATATAGATAGATAACTACCGTCCAGATATATTCAGATTACGACAGATTTTTAAATTAAAATCTGCTGTAAGTACTCGAAATCTCCAATTAAATCTTCAAAGAGAAAAAAAATAATAGAGGCACACCAGTTTTTAGTGCGAAGTTAGCAATGTTACTGTAGACTTTTATGATTAGTAGAATACCAATCACAGCCAAAGATTGAAACTATAATTCTGACTGGCTACTCATATTTCGATGCTTCTTCCTTTATATACAGGTAATGATTACTCGCCTTTACAAAACGTTTACATTTTAACTAAAGTTCTTGAAACATTTAATCTTTCTATAAACTTTGATAAAACAATTATATGTTTTGCTTTGATAAGTAAAACAAATCATTTACCTCGAACAAATCCAGTTTAAATTAATAATCATCTTATTAAATGCCAGGACAATCGATCTCGACATAATTATTTAACCGGCGCTTGGCATTGTCAAATTATACGAATAAAATATTTGAAAATTTGGACGTACAAGAGGTATGATTTGACTTCACTCTGGTTTTGTCTCTTTCCGTATTATACTTACAGCTTTACTTTTTGCGAATTTTTAGTTTATAGTTGATTACTGCTTAACTGTTTGGTGCCCTTCTGCACCAACTCTCTCCCAAAAAGTAATAAATGCATTGAGTAAAGTACAAAGGAATTCAAAATATTAATACTTATCCAGTAGAGGATATTTTATTTCGGAATTATAAATATTTTAAAAACAAATGAAAGCTTGTCATAAGGTTTTTTATCTTAATTTATATGTTTTGCATACTGAACTTTTTCTATTGTTTATATGTTGTAATTTTCATATTTCACCTTTTATATGCACTGAAATGTTTACTTATTTTCGAGTATATTTGATTACTTATCGTTTGTTTATATGTCAACTAGGCTTTTATTGTTTAATTAGGGCAGCATGTCTAGTCCGTCTGAAATTTACGGTAACAATGGAAAAGCTTGTTCATTATTTGTTTTACGTATTGAAAGTTCTAGTTTATTTTAAATATCAAAGTTTGCTAGAATATATAATTAAAGTATTGCTTAATTTAAAATGAATATGACAAAAAAGCAATAAATGTTAAAGTGTCTTAAAGTTCACATATTTATTGTAGAAAGTGCGTTTTAAAAGAATATATAGGCTATACAGTAATAAGTTATGTTAAACAATTTAACGACAGTTGAAATTTACTGCAATAACCTTGTGGAGAATTAAGAATAAGCATTCTAATTGCTCACAAGATGAAATTATAAAAGAATGTTTTCTTTTGATATACAATTGCTTTACTAGAACAACTTGAAAAGTTTTACTTTATGTAATAACAGAACTTAAATGTGTACTATTCTTATATAAAATAAAACTTTAAATCAATACTAATTTGATTCTTTTAATTTGAAGTAAAAATGCATAATCTTCATACCATAAAATACGTTCCTACACAATTAAATGCTCTTCCATCATTTAACAAACAATTATTTTTTTATTGATTTTATGAAATAATAAATTAATAATTATAATAAGGATTAGCGTAGTTTCTAAACATATACATAAAAACGAATTAATTTATATATTTGTAGCATAAATATATAAAAATGAAATATAGATAGCTAATTTTTAATTTTATTACAAAGATGTAAATAAATTTGTTATTATTGTATGGTATGTCGATAATTGTGGAATAAACAAAATATTACCACAACTTGTTTATGAAGTGTTTTCTTTTTGACTCTTCTCTTATTGTTGGACACCAAAACTTACAGTTAAGATGACTAAGAATATATTTCTACTGATTATTGATAATAACATAAGATAATAAAAGTTTTTTTTTGGATTCATGTATAGTACTTGTTAAATGCTTGAAATCTCAAATTTGAAAAGAAATGTTTACTTTAAATACAAGCAAAACCAGAAAACAATTATTTCGTACTATTTCAAAGAATGAATCTGTGTAGTCAAACGAATAAAAGTTATAAGGATTACGCGTTTTTTTTCATTGTTATAAATTTATTTTTAATTGTTTTTATATATTCTACGTTATTTCTGTTTATATAAAATTTGACAGGAAATATTTCATTATAAATTGTAGAATAAGTAAAAAAATAAAGATTAAGATGTAAAATTTATAGAATTATTTCATAAACATTTTAAAATTATTAAAATATCAGAAAGATAAAATTATATAAGCTTACATAGAAAGCATTACACAAGATAATGTGTAACTAAGCCAATATGTAATATTAAGATGTATGCGTAAAATAATACTCACGTTTTATTTACATTATCTTCTTTAGGTTTGTTATTTTCCATCGCTAAATCTGGTTCATATAAATTATAAGAAGCTAAAAATTATTATTATTATTTACTTTAATTATTCAGAACAGTTTTACTGATCACTCCTCAATATCAAGTCTCTCCACATTAACATATTATTTTGCTTCCCTTCTTTACGAATCTACTTTTAATAATGAAATTAAGACAGTAACTATCTCAATTATGTTGGCCTTGGGTTGATGAAAGAAAAAAAATCGCTTCTTCGGTATTTGTACAATTATTATTATTTATATTTTTAAAAATATATCTTAAAATAATTTTATTCTCCGAATTAATTTGAATTTTCTAATTTAAAAAAAAACACAATTTATTTAAATAAGTTGTATAAAAAACATTTAATTCGCTTCTTTTAATGGAAAAATATATTGTTTATCTGTTTTATTTAATCTGTACTTTCTATTTGTATTAAAGCACTACCAAAAAGTCATTATGGGAATTTTATTAATACAGATATTTAGGTATTTATATTATGAGAAGGACCGAATACGATTTGATTTTATGTTAATATGATATTTCTTCATTGTTCTCTGAGTAGATATTTTATTCATCGTAATTGAAAAAAATTATAAAATAATACGAATAATTATATAATTGTAATAATATTTATTGATTTTCCAAACGATACATTAAAAAATGAGGGAATTATTTACTTTGTTACGCTTCGCATTCTATTCCCACGCATTCCGCGCACGCAGCTAATTCAATTGACATGGTTGACAGTTTAAACTGAATGTTTAAAAATATTCTTAAAGTCTAAATTATTGTCAATAGATTTTATCCCTACTACCGAATACCTCATTAGGGTGTTATACTATCAATCGCATTTGTTTTAATTCTTTAAATTAAGTAAATTTTAAGGAAATTTTTTGATTTATCTAAATTACGTAGTGAAATATTTATATTCGTGTCCACACTATATTTACAAGTAACTTTTAGACACAAAATGTATTATAATTAATGACGATCCGAACAAAGATGTACTAAAGTAATTATATGATTTAATATCATTAATTTTTATTGTACCATCTAGCAGTGCGTCTATTGAGCGCAGTTTTTCGACCACAGGAACACTCGATCGGAGGAAAAATTGTCGTCGCTTGCGTTGCTTTACATAGAAAAAAATCTTTCAAATACGTTGATGGGGTCGACGTCTAGCGACTTTTATGATTAAGTAATTAACGACTTTGCGAAAAAAATCGCCGAATAGAGTTAGTTTATAAAGAATTAAAAAACAAGTTTTTCTATCATTGTTTGTATCATATCAATTTATATTATGCATGTATTATTTGCATTTTAGAACTAAAATACATAAATTGTTTATTTTTGTCATTTCCAGTATTTGTTTAACATTTTATGGAAATGTGAGGTTCCGGACAGGTCCGAACCGTCACGAAAGACGCGAAAAAACGATTAATTTAGAGACAAATTTATTAGTTTAAAAAAACATAGGAAAAAATCGTTTGTAGTCGAACGTCCCATTGTTTATATCAAACTGCGATGCAGTAATTATAAATCGCAGAAGGAAGTCGTCTTATGATCGGTGGAATATCGAATTCATCTTCGATTTTGACTTTTCTCGCGCTCTAGGTAGAAGTTTCGTTACGCTTAGTAACGAGGGACCAGCCACTCGGGAAGCGTGATTGAGGGAGAACGACCAATCAAAATGGAAGAAGGAACGGAGATTGATATAGCCTAATCCCCGACAATCGAGGACATCTCGCACTCGGTTAACGTTCAGAATAACCAAAACGCCGTGTGTCAACGCGTAAAAAAAAGCAGTTTCTCGTCCATTGTGCCAACCTGTAACCCGTGCCACTTCGGACTTAGACCGTGTTCCCGACGCCAACAGACGAAGTCTCCCCGTGCCTTACAGACTTGTCAACGCCACTGTCCCGGGGCCACCTTTGATCGACGATCAAAAAACCACATCGACGCTCAGGATGTCCGAACAGCTGATTGTCCTAAAGCAGTGCCGGCCCGAGGCAAGTTTTAGGATGGAGCGAGATCCTATTATGGCGCCCCCTTGGTTGCCCCTAATTTATACCCTTTAATTTTCTTTACCAGTGAGGCTCCCCCTGGGATTTTTCGCCTGGAACGGCTGCTCCGTTCGCTCTATGGTAGGGCCGGCTCTGCACTGGCTGTCTAACAAAGAGTTATTTCTTTTAATAACACTAGTTTAATAGTACATAGTCTAATCGTAGATCGATTAATAGTGTCCGCCCCTGACATAATTTATTACAGATTATCTTATTTCTGTGTATTACTCAATTCATTTGACATTCATTTTTTCTCAAGGCAATATAATGTAAAGTTAAAATACTTACCTTTGAAATTACACTATGCGGAAATCATATTAATTAATGTAATTAGATATTAAAAGTATAATATTTTAAGTTGATAATTAGATGTAATTTTAGCAATGTTAACCTTAATACTACAGAATCGATTATATTTAGAAGTACAAAGTTTCTAGTCCATGTACTCTAAAACGCTCAACGACAGGAAAAACAAACATTAAAAATTAAATAAAATTTAACTTAAATATTCTAATATGATATATAACTTTCAATGTGCAACTTTTAATAGAACAAAAAATAAACATTAAATTATTTAACGTTAGTTATTGCTACAGTATTATTACTATATTATATTCTAAATTTGGTAAAATACCGAGCGTATAAAATACCTTCTTGATACCAACATGTTTGGTAGAATACGGGATACAATAGTAAGACCTCCTGAGACGTTCTATATTAAGTGTTACTAGCAATTCAGTAAGATTCCGGGATTCTTACTGAATCGTGTCTGAATAAGTAAATAGATACAAGTCTTTAACACATTACACATTTATTTGTTATACACATTTATATGTGCAGAACAGGACCAAAGAGAAGTGCCCGCGGTTTCTCAGCTTATAAATCGGGCAGCCAAGTCTTTGGGCGCTGCGCTTGACTCGCCCTTTACTAGCTGTGGTGAGACACAACGTGACAGTTACAAACATAAAGAAAACCCGAAAAACACGTGGTCAGCCTGTTGATCGGCTTTCAGTGGTTTTATCTACTCGTTCATTGGTGGACGGTAGCCTACAGGACAAAAAGAGCCAAAAATGAAAAAAAAAAAAAATATATATATATATATATA